TGGCACATGTTATAGTAGAAGTATATTTATTTATTAAACTGTTTTATTTAAAGAAACCAAATTTTACTGGTTTTCAAGTACATAAACGTTTTAAAAGACATGTTACATCTACGACTCATGTACGGGGACATATAGGGAAATGGGTGTTACATTATATTTCTTATTAGATAATATTTGTAGATATGTAAGTAAAGGCGCGGTTGACGTGCCTTCAACGAATGTCACAAAGTATTCAACTGGATGTTTAACGTTTTCTAACAACATCGTTGATGTGATTAATGGGCCTTGCTCCGGCATCGACTGCTGCCAGTGAAGAGTTATCATGTAATGTTTGGTAGTTCTAACTATCATTCCACTATATTGACCTTCAATCCTTTCAGTTGCAGGTTAATTCTTAAAAAATGAAGCTTAGCAAAAATCACATGGACATACTTAAAAAGCCAATTTATGCTGGGTAGAGGATAAAGAGAATTTAACTAACAATATGTGGGAATTGAGATGATGGAACTTTAGGGACGGAATGAATCGAGGGCAGTCGTTCTCTTAGATTTTTAAGTTATAATATAATTTAGATTATTTTTATATTTTTATTAATAATTTATTTTTATCTTTTAAATTTTTATAAGTTGACATCTATCATAAAATTTGTTTCGATCCCTACTTGGGGGGCGATGGTTCTTATTGGAATGACGCCCTCTCACGTTCTTGGTAGAAATTCAGCTATGAATTCATCATTGGCCTAGCCTTATTCTCTTTTGTTTGTAAAAAAATGTACAATCTTGTCATCTTCTTTCTACCTCAAAAGTGATTGTACATAAATCAATGGAACCAATCATTGATGAAAATAAATCCAGATTAAACTTATAAGGTTCCTTGTAATTTTCCCATATAAAAATATTCTTGTAATAAGGTGATCTTAGAGGGTCAAAAGCTAAACTAACTCAAAATCTAGAAAGGAAATAACATGAATTACTAGAACAATATATCTTCCTGAAAGATTGAAGAATCTTGACACGAGCCATTGATGTAATGAAAGAAAGGGACTTTACTGTAATGCTTCAAAGGAACAATGGAGAACTCAGGGAGGGGCAAAAGCAAAACCAGGGACGAAGCCACCTTATGGATGGGAGGGGCAGTTGCCCACTAACATTGACGGGCTAATTATATTTTAGGCCATTGAATATTTTGAAACTATTATAATTAAGCCTTACCTCTCAATTTGTTTGGTATAATTACTTTTGGGATACCGTCAGTTTTAAAATTAATAGAATTAACTCTTGATCCAAAATTTATATGATTTAATTACTTTTTAAGACATTTAATTTTAAAATCATTAGAATTATACTATCAATTTCTTAATTTTATATGACTTAATTGCTTTTTAAGATCCTATTTATTTTAAAATTAAACTTGTCCTAGAGATTTAAATTATAGTTACAATAGTGTTTTCAATTACGATGCGTTTATCGCGATTATGGAAATAGAAAACATTATTACGAGTAATGCGATTATGCGATAACAATTTCAAATGACATCTTTACCTCTATATAACTGTCGCTATTCCGATAGCGAATCGATATTTAAATTATTTTTTACCTCCTCATAGTTTAATCCTAACTCCGTCCCTAGGCAAAACAATCACCTTTGCGGGGAAGAGTAGCACGTTACAGTGGTGATGACAGGTATGGGTCAAACATAAGTCAAGGATAAAAAATATAGTATTAAATTATGATTGCGGTGTTTTTTGTTGATTGGGTTGTATTATGATTGCAAATATTTCATAAACATAACGTGATTTATTTTTAAAAATCACCATATTTGCAAAATATTATATTATACATTTTACAACCATGTTTTAATATTATAATATTAAATTGTAGAAAGATAACAATAGTTGAAAGATATCAAAATAGAAGAAGATGCATCAAGATTTTACGTAAAAAAATTAAACTAGAAAAATCACGAGAAAAAACTCTAACGACTAGTTTTCATCAATATGACTTTCACATTTAGGGCAAGGGTTTGTGCAATTGAACACAAAATTTAAGCCTCCCAAGCTTTCTATCTGCAACTTTCTCCTTTCCCTTGATTGAACTACCTTCGATCCCTTCCCTGACAACTTAAATATCACATTAAGCTTCCAAAATATTAGAATTTTAGCATTCATGGAGCTTGGGTTAAAAAAATCCCATCTTTCATTCTTAATACAAAACCCTAACTAAAAACACCTTCTCTAAGCTCAAAATTCACACTAAGGCTTTGAAGAGTAACAAAAGGAAGAATTTTATTTCAATTTGACAAGAAAATGAAAATTTACGGGTCTGTTTGGTTTTAGAAAATATAAGTTATTTTCATTTTCATTTTCCTAAAAAATAGAAAAAATTGAAGAAAATGTGTTTAGTTGTAAAATTAGAAAATGATTTCAGGAAAATGAAAACATAAAAAAGATGTTTTCAGTATTTTCATTGAAGTTATTTTAAAAATTTTACGGGAACTAGATTTTTAACTTAACTTACACAAGTTCAAATCGTTCTAAGAATATTTTTTGACTTAATAGTATATGAAACCTCAAACTCTACAAAAAAATTAAGATGATTCTTGAATTTTCTTACACTCAATATGATCTTTAAACTAAACTTTTTTTAATAATTTATTTTTACATTTAATGTATTGAATAACTTAATAATTGTTTATATTTTATATTTTAAATTTATGCAGTTTCTTTAATTTTTCTAAAAGATTAAATAAGTCATCAAACTTTCTAAAAGATCAATTAGGCCCTCAAACTTAGTCAAAAAATCAATTAAGCTCGTCTACCACATCATCATCCATCATGTATTGTCATAATAACATCGTGAACTGTCACATCATTATTTTAGATTATCATGTAAGCATCGGACGATCAATGTTTGATTCCGTTGGTCAAAGAGTTAGATTGATTTTTTGCAGTTTAAAGGTCACATTGTGTGCAAAAAAGGTTTAGTGGTTACACATTTTTTTCCCAAAAGTTTGAGAGCCTTAAATATCATTAAATATATGTTTATTTTAATGATATTTTTGCGTGCTATTCTTGACAATAATATTTTTGGGTGCATTTTTAGTTTAATTGATATACAATAGGCATTAACATTATATTCTTATTATAAACTAAAAATACTTTTTATGTTATGCAATTTATTATCAATTTTATTGTTTTATAGTTGCATAACTCACATGTTAAATTTATGCAATTAATTTTTAATAAATATATTTTAATTTAATTATTTAATAAACATTCATTCATCTCTATTTTTAAAAAATAGGCATCAAATATATTTTCATCGTTTATATTTTTAAGTTTAAGTTTTGATTTCTATTAAGCAAACAAGTTTTCTAATTTTCAAATGTTTGAAAATGAAAACTATTTTCAGAGAATAAAAAAAATATTTTCTAAAACCAAACGAGTCGTAAGTTATTCTTGAAAATTAAGATTTAAATATGACATTGTGAACAAAACAAATAAGATCGAAAGGATCACCCATAATAAAATTCTATAATAATCGATTAATAAATCGAACATCATTAAATACAAAAATAAGATTATTTCATTCATTTCTAATCATTTTATGCTAAGTTTGAACAACAAGTAATGCATACAAAACTAGATAAAATGTTGAAACTTCTAAAATGGAATTGAACTTGTAATTTCTTACGTTAAAAAAATAAACTTTGTTGATATGTTCTCAATCTCATCGCCCACATTAACAACTAACAATTCCAAGGTCTAAAGAGTAGGTGGGAGGTTTCTATATTATTTCAAAGTAGACAAATTAGTCCTCTAAAGAAACAAAAGATTTTAAATGATACTTCTTTCGTTGTATTAAAATTATTACTTTTCAGTGATTAATTTTTTTTTTAAAAAAATAACTATAATTATTAAAAATGTTTTAATTTATAAAATATATATTTAAATCTATTTGATTCATTGTCAAATAATTGAGAATTTTTAAACATTTATTCTAATAAAAAGGAATAATATTTCTTTTATTATTAATATCACTCTTAAATTCTTATAGATATAGAGAGATACAGGGAAAAGTGTGTAGGTTTTTAATTACAATTTGTGGCTTCTTGAAGCAAATGAAGGATTTAGTCAAAATAAATTAATCAGAGCGAGGTGTGAGGATTAAATATATCCAAACAACTGCATCTAGAAGATAAATTCATAGTTGCCGGTGATGTCAATTTATATCTTATTTTAAACATAATTGATTTCTCATCTTCTCTCTCACCCAGAAATTATAAAAATATGTTTGGAATTATTAATTAGGCATTCCATTTTTGAAATTGTTTGAATCATAAAGTATAAATATAATATAATATAATATTAATCCTCGTAAATACCTACAACGTTTTCATTATGTTTATGACTTGAATAATGAACAATATCATAACACAAACGTATCATGGGTATATTATATATTTAATCATTTAGTCTTTATTTTAGTTTTATTTTGTTCATTTTATTATTTTTCAAATTATCATTAACGTTATATTTTGATTTTATTTTGATCACTTATCAATAAAAAAATATAAGAACTACTGATATTTTATTTTTTTAATATTAAAATGACATTATCTAATGTGACACGTCAGTATCACTGTTAATTTTTTTAATGAAAAGCGATCAAAATAAAATCAAACATAACAATAATAATGATTATTAAAAAGATAATTTAGTGATTGAAACAAAATCAAAATAATAATTGGGTGTATCCAACTATAACCAAAACGGAAAAACAAAATCACCGATAACATTATCCAGTCAAACAAAACGCCAAATGGAAGCTTCTGTGAATATTTTTAATACTTATTGTTTTAGTGTTTTAGTTTATTTCTTCCAACCATGAACTTGACTAAGTAGGTTCAGATTTAGTCTTTATAAGTGTATTTCGTGCTTGAATCAAAACCAAAACTTTATCCTGAAATTCTCCAGAAAGTTCAAAGTTTTTCTTTCTCTAATGTTTTATCCATTTCTATGCGGAGCTGTCCATCACCAAGAAGAAGAAGATGATGATGAAATCTGGTCTACCAGCCCTGTTTGTTCGCCAAGAAAATCAAAAAGAAAAAAAGACACCAAGAATCCCTACTCAAAACGGGGACTCGACCAGTTCACCGCACTTTTAGCAGAACTCGAAGAGAAAAGACGAAAAATTTACTCAAAAACGGGATCCCAAAGCTTAGTTCGATTCGTTTACAACAACTCAAACGATTGTGTCCCGGTCGTGATAAATTTGAAAGACAAGAACGAAGACAAAACCAAACCAGGAAACACCAAAGAGAGGTGTGCTCCCGAACCCATTAACAAGCTTCAAACCCCATCAGAATCTGACACGAAAGTGAAGAAGATGAAGGTGAAGAAGAAGAAGAGATTTTCATGGAGTAGTGTGGAGTTTCAGAATCTGAGAAAGCCATCTTATTCCATCCCAGGAATCATAATCCTGATTTTGTTGTTTTTGATGTTGTTTGGAAGATCGGCTGCGGTATTATGTACTTGTGTTGGATGGTACGTAGTTCCTACAATCAATGGGGAAGGATCTAATTTAAGAACATCGATGAAGAAGAAAGATTGAGTGGGAATAAATTATCTTATCTAAAGAGTGATAAATCCACCCCACTGAATCTGCGTCGTGTAATTTCCATTTTTGTTATGTGTTGGTTCTTTGTTGATGTAAATAGATTTGTAATATATGAGTGTTGGGTTGTAAATTGTAATGGTTTTTGATGCCATCATGCACACCCTTCATAGACAAAGGTGAATGCGTGGGCATAATCTCCAAACAATTATACATGTAGTGAACCATATTGGAGGACTTGTATGGTATCAACTTTTTATTCGATCATATATGTATCTCTCACTATTATGTGATTTGAAGTTTTAGATTAGTAATACGTTGGGAAAGTTTAGGTTTGTGGAAAATATAAAGAAGGGACAATTTTTTTTTCGATCGACAAATGTTTATATAAAGATAAAAAGTTAAAAACATAAGAAAAGAACAAAAATTGAATAACACTAAAAACGTCTAAATTCCAACATACTACTATAGAAGTGAAAATAAAATTTCACGACGAAAACATCTTAGAAGAAGGATAACCAGCTGCGTTAACGACCACATAAAGATAATCCCAACATGACTTCCCACATGTTCATACCACGACATGACGGATTCGCCGAACGCTAACGGCGGCCACAGTGTCTTTCCGGTAAGTTTGTTGAGCGCCATTAGTGAAGTTCTTGAGCCATCTTTTGCAGAAGGAAAGTATGGCCAATTGCAGAAGCACGGAAAAACAGAGACAAGTAAGAAAAACATTCACTTTTATTGCAGAGACCACTCGGTTCGAATTGATTATACAAAAAAGACAATCGAGGTAAATGATTATTGGTACTTACAGGTGCAACAAGAGTGACTGATTTGACGAAGTTGGGGTATTTAGCAGCTAAGGCCAAAGCAACTATGGAGCCCATGGAATGAGCCACCAAATGAAGAGAATTCAATTGGAATGGCGAGATGACGGATTTGTCAATCATTTCAACATGATCAAGCAACGTATACATACTGTCATTTGGCTTCGGACTTCTTCCAAATCCCAGAAGATCAACGGCGAATAGCCTGTAATAACGACCCTTAAACGATTCAGATAGGTGGCTGAAAACTGTTTCTGTCCAAAATGAAGATGTTGAAAGGAAGCCGTGCAAAAATATCACATTTTCAGCTGCTTGATATCCTGTTGGGACCTCAGTTCCAACTGTCAACAAAAATATTGGTACTAAAATTACTCAGATTTCTGATTTTGAGTTTCATTTGACTCTAGAGTAGGGGTGTAACTAAAAAATATTTCAGTTTATTAAGTTAAATGAATGAAAATAAATAAAATTTTTATGTTCATTTAATAAATAAATAAATATAAAGAGAGATGTAGAGTAGCACTCTACGAACCGGTGTCGAAGACGGCCAGAGGTAGAGTAGCACTCTACGAAGTAGGGAACAATGAGCCGGTGAAGGCTATTGTCATTTATGGAGTTACCACAGATGAGAGACTACGATTAACCTCACAACGATTATAATTTTACGTGTGAAGAACAAGATAAAGAAGAAGACACACTAACACGAATAAGTTTAAGATTTTGCATGCTGAAAATTGTCGGGGAAATATATAAAAAAAGAGAGGATTCGGTTTAAATGTAACCAAATTTTCCTAAAATTACTCGGCCAAATTACCTGCTCGGTGTTTACTGATTCACATTCTTCTTGCAAGTCAAACGTGTGTTTTGCATTTTACTTACAGTAATTTTGATTAGTACATAATTTTAGGGGGTTTTATTACCAAAATAATAACTAAAAAAAATGTGAATTGTGAATTAATATATTTGGTTAATACTTAGGGTAAAGTACACAAATGGTCCCCAGGTTATAGGGTACTACTTATTAAATCTCTCGACTATTAAAAGTTACAACATGGTCCTTTGACTATGGAGTGTTGCTTTGTCGAGTCTCTCGACTATTAAAAGTTACAAAATCACCATTTTTTGTTAACAAATTGATGGTATTCTCAGCTTAACGTTAAACTACTGATTGTGATATGATGAATTATGATTTTAAAATCTCAAACGACTGCCAATTGTTTAACGAAAAATGATGAGTTTGAAAAATAATGAATATTCGGGTGACAATTTTATAACTTTTAATAGTCGATGGACTTAATAAAATAACTTTCTATAATCAGAGGACTATTTTATATAGTCAAGGGACTTAATAAAGAAGCACCCTATTGTTGAGGGACCATTTGTGTACTTTACCCTAATATTTGCAATTTTTTATTTAAATAATCTGTATTTTTCAAATAAAAATGATTTAAGACGTGGTTTGCATTTATAATTTGTTTTGGTTAAAAGTCATTGAACCAAGACAATTTTTTAGTTGAATAGGATCTAACTCTAAGTAAATGATGGGTAAACTATAAGGATAGTCTCCTATGTTTAGGGTCTGGCTGATTTTGGTCACCAATTTAAAAATTAAGGGGAAATAATCCCTAACATTATTGATTCCTTCGATTTTAGTCCCTTGGATATTAATTTTCGTTAACCCCTTTTGTTTAATTCTCTAACATGGTTGAGGGACTAAAATCGAACGGGAGTTAACGATTGAGGGACTACAATCGAATGGATCAATAATGTTAGGGATTAAAATCGAACGGATTGATAAAATTAGTGATCATCCCCCCTTAATTTTTAAATTGGTGACCAAAGTTGGTCATACTGAAAATATAGGGGACTATCTGTATAGTTTACTCGTAAATGATTTAAGTTAAATCAGAGAATTTATTCCAACTTACTTGATTATCCTGTGTTAATAATCTTCTACTTTTTTATTATAATTGTTGGTAACCCAATTCATCTTTCATTGTCCTTCATTACATAGATTTGTTTTTGTTTTTTATTTTGTTTTAAGACCAGTCTCTGATGATGAATGATGATTCGAGCATCATTTTGAACACTAAATGGGCTATTTTTCGGTCAGAACCTCGTATTCCGGTGAGAGCAACTTCGATCATCATCCCAGAAAACGTGTCCGACGGCACAATCATGGTGGGTCATTATTGAGGTTTAAAGGTGTCGGCCCGTAACAAAATTGGCATTGGGGTGCACAGATATACGCCAACCACCACCGGATATGTCTCGGGACGTTCAATTCCTAGAAAGAGGTTGCCATGGCATACGATAATGCGTCGATCAAGCTACATTGCGACGACGAAACCTATCGGAGCTTCCCCTAGACTGATCTCAATATCCAAGAACCAGTCTTTCAAAGCCTATATTCCGACGGAGATGTGCTAAACATGATCAGGGAGGACTCGTTTCAAGCCAAGTTCGAAGATTTCGTCAAGATTTCGTCAAACAAAGAAGGGGAATCGACCGTTATGTTGGATCATAAACTTGATCCGTTATGGGAGCCTAAACCCACACCCAAACAAATTTGATGTCATTGTTTACATCATATTAGTTAGGTGAAAGTTAGGTATGAAAGTTAGGTGAGTGTTAGGTATTTGTCTATTTTTAATGGTTTAAATTAGTTTATTTGTGTGGTGTAGGATTGTTCTTAAGTAGTATAAATACCCCTCCACATTTTAGTTTATGCATCAAGAAAAATTAAGAGCTTCTAAGTGAGTGAAGAATCAAAGTCTTATAAGAGTGAGTTGTAGTATCTTGTTTTTGAGTGAGAGTGCTCTTGTAATATTTGTTTGAGTTTCAATAAAAGTTGTTTGTGTGAGTGTTTCATTTTCAACAAAGTGGCATCAGAGCTAGTTGGAAATATCGAAGGTCTCTACGAGAGGAATCCACCGCTGCCAAAATCTTCCTAATCTGAGTTCTGACGAGCTGCCAAGCACCGCCGAAAGACTGCTGCCAGAAAATCGAGTTGACTCACCGAGTTGAGCCGAGTCAGCCGAGTTGGAGCCCCTTGACAAGTTGTCCAAGTTTCTCCCAAGAGTTTTTGGCGTTCCGAATTCATCCGTGTAATCAGATTTTGTAAATTCTCATTATATTAAGAGATATGACAAATGATATGGCACCATTCCAAGTTCCGACACTCAACAACAACAACTACGATAACTTGAGTGTAGAAAAAAGACACTTCTTGGATCATAAGATGTGTGGGATATCATAGAGAAAGGCTATAACGAGCCCGCAAATGATGTTGTTTTTGATATTCTTACACCAGATCAAAAGACAACTTTGAAGGATTCAAGAAAGAGAGACAAGAAGGCTCTCTACCTCATCTATCAAACATTAGATGATGATGGTTTTGAAAAGATTTCGAGTGCAAGCTCCAGCAAGGAAGTGTGGGAGAAGCTGCAAACCTCTTACAAAGGATCCGAGCAAGTGAAGAATGCCCGTCTCCAAACATTAAGAGGTGAATTTGAATCCTTACACATGAAATCATCTGAGTCTATTTTAGATTATTTCTCAAGATTAGTAGTTGTTTCTAATCAATTAAAAAAGAAATGGTGAAAAGTTAGAAGATGTGAGGATAATAGAGAAGATACTCCATTTGTTGGATCCCAAATTTGAGCACATCGTCGTGACGATTGAAGAAACTAAAGACTTGGAAGAAATGACGATCGAGTAACTCTAAGGATCATTGCCAGCATACGAAGAGAAACTTAAGAAGAAGCATGGGTTTACTGAGCAACTCCTCAAGCTGCAACTCAAGGATATGCATGAAAGCCAACGCAATGATAGAAACCAACGTGGCTTAGGTATAGGTAGAGGCCATGGACGAGGTGGAAGTCAAGGTCGTGGACGAGGATGGAATTTCAACAATAACAATTCTAACAACAACTATGAGAAATGAGAAAACTTAACACGAGGCATTGGAAAAATCAATCCGAACTCAAAGTATGACAAATCTCAAGTTCGATGTTATAATTGTCAGAAGTTTGGGAATTATGCTTCAAAATGTAGAGCTCCCAACAACAAAATTGAAGAGAAGGCTAACTACGTGGAGGAAAAGATAGATGGCAAAGAAACACTTCTTCTAGCATGAAAGGAAACTGATGGTGGCTAAGCAAATTC